TTCTGGATTTAGAAAAAAATCAATTATCATCATAATCTATAATAAATCTCCCATAAGCTATGGGATTTCACTAGATTGAAGAATATATAATAAATTCACAAATGGAGAAGCTATGGGATTTCACTAGATTGAAGAATATATGATAAAAGTTTTAGTATAAACATCTAGAAATGAGCAAGTTATAAGCTCTGCATTATCAACTTCATCTTCAGAAACACAAAAGCCTATGCGATGGAGAAGCTATGGGAATTCACAAATGTAGTTCAATTGCTTCAGCTAGTGAAGCTTCATCTGAAAAAAACAGCCCTCATGGTTCCAAATGATATATCTGATTTGTTTTCCAAATGCACATAAACATTTCAATACTGATTTTTTCACGCACACCATAAACATTTTAATCTCTATCTATCATATCATCATCTTCTTCCAAATGCACATAAACATTTTAATGCCCATCAACACTAACATTAGGGTTACCACAATGCCACATAAACTGAACAAATCCTACCAAGCATAAATGGAGAAGAAATGCAAGCATATCGATACGATTTGGAGAATAAATGCAAGCTTAAATGCATAAAAAATTACCCAAAAAAATTTAAGAACATGCGAGGCTGAGCTCGACGGGTCGGGTAGGAGGCCAAAAGCGACGTAACTTCTTCCCCAACGTGTTCGCCGGTGGCTGGGAGGTCGGACGAGGGAGAAGAAGTGAAGAAGAAGTCTCATTCGCGAAACCTCTGTCGGGATCGTCCGAGGCTCCAAGTCTCGTTCCGTCGTTCGCGTATGCTAGGGCAAACGATACGAGCGAACAAGTAATACACTTATGCCGAATTGTCGATACATAGTTATCTAAGCCGTTAGATCGCAGATCAAGGACTCAAATTACAGCTTTAACGGACCGGCCGGTTATTTCAGAACCCCCCGGTTCAACGGTTCAGCGGTTCAACCGGGATTTCAACCAGTTTTTACCCGATTCTTAAAACACTCGGTTGCTCACTCTCTCCGGACTGCCCGCCGGACCGGTTCGCGGTTGAACCGGCCGGTCCGGTCCGGTTCTGAAAACCTTGCTTATAACATTAAAACAAACACCTTATAAATCCTGACAAGCATAAGACACCTAAAAGAGCTTGCATTCATCGAGAAGAAAGATACAGGTGGGATGGTCACTTGCGGCGAGAAGAAAGAGATTAGAAGTCAAGACGAAACATAGCTCGCAAGCTATAGAGAGGAGAAGAGATGAGGGACATAGCTCGCAAGCTATTCCCAAAGAAGAAAAAACTCTCAGGTTTTTTTATCTCCAAAAATCAGCCACCTAGCATCTTAAAAACTCTTTTTTAGACAAAAACATCTTATATTTATAAGAGAGAAAGGGGAGCCAAACAGCTAACTTCTACCTCCAACCAAACCAATCAGATAAAGGGACAAGGAAGAACAGTAGTCAGCACAAAATAATTCCCAAAAATAGCACAGGAATTGGTAGAAGAAGCCACGGGAACACAACCAGGGAGGAACCCGAAGAGCCAACACATAAACCAGGCTGGAGAAGCCACGGGAAAGCAGCCAGGGGGAAAACCGAAAAGGCACCCAACATCAGTTCACGGGAACAACACAGAAAAAACTGAGGAGACACAATAAGGGGAAGAAACAAGCTCCACTCCATATACCTTTTCAAAATTATGGGCTAGAAAGTGCAATAACTCCTCAAATTAATGAGATAACACATCAGCTCAAGTAATTAAAGAGCTAGAACCAAATAGCTTCCAAAATTCAGCTCAAAACCAAAGCAGCCAAGGCCCAATCCAATAGCAGCCAAGACCCAACCAGGGAGGTAACAAGCAGCCCAAAGACCAAAGAACCCAAGAAGCTTAGACCCCCTCCCTTGCCTACATCAATTCTCCTCTGGTTGAAATTGTTCATCTCCTGATGAAGCTTGAGTTTGCTTTGAATCTTGTCCCGAGGCTTCCGAAGTCTGATTGCAAGGACTATGACTCAAAAAAAAAACATGACTCAAAACAAAAAAAAATCTGACACCAAGACACACACAACAACCATGCTCTAATATCAAATTGATGCAAGCATAAATTAGGAGAAAGCCTAATTTTTTCAAGCAAGAAAAGATTTCCTAGGCTATAAGAAAAGACACGAAAAACTTAAATAAAATTATACAACACTAGAACAATAGACAACTTTCATAGAAATAAAACGACGGTTACAAACTTTGACATAAAATTCCTAAACTTGCATTCCCTTAAGAAGAAAGATACAATTGATGTCGATTCTTGTGGAGATAAAAAAGATATTAGAAGCCAAGACGAAACATAGCTCGCAAGCTATAGAGATGAGAAGAGATGGGGGACACAGCTCGCAAGCTATTCCCAAAGAAGAAAAAACCCTCAGGTTTTGCCTTCTAAAAATCTGATTATATCATCCTCTCTAAAAACTCTAAAACAGCCACAAACATCTCCAATATATAGGATTAAAGGGGCAGCCAAACAGCCACTATTATCTTCATTTAAACCCATTAAATTAGGCCAATTTTCAGTCCAAAACAACACCCAAAAAGCCTTGCATTTATTTCAAAACAGCACTAAAAAAGCCACATAAATCCTGGGAAAAAATAGCAACGAGAAAGGAGCAGGCAACACAAAACAATTACCAAAACATCACAGGAATTGGGTAGGAGAAGCCACAGGAACACAGCTATGGAGGGACTCGAAGAGCCAACACAAAAACCAGGCTGGAGAAGTCACGGGAAAGCAGCCTGGGGGAAAACCGAAAAGGCAACCAGCACCCAGCATTATTTCACGGGAACAGCACGAAGAGAAAACCGAGGGGACATAAGAAGGGGAAGAGGCAAGGATTCAATTCCTCTTAATGAGCTTACAAGAATAATACATTTTCATATTAATGAGCTATCATTAGCTCAAGCATTTATGAGCTTGAATCAAGTAGATCCCAAGATTTTAACTCAAAACCAAAACAGCCAAGGCTTAATCTGAGAGCAGCCAAGGCCCAACCAGAGAGGTAACAAGTAGCCCCAAGACCAAAGAACCCAAAAAGCTTTTGACCACCCCCCCCCCTTGCCTACATGAACTAAAAAGTATGCCAACCACTTGACGATTTTTATTGCTCCCAATCTTAGTTACAGCTTATAATTTCGAATTTCAATTTATTTATTAATTTTTTTTTTATTTCAATTTATGTGGCTTAAGAAAGATCAAAATTGATTCAATAACCAATAACCAAATATTTCAAAATTTTAAACCAAAAACCAAATAGTTAATTTAAAAATCAAACTAATTTTAGCCAAATAATGCACCCCCTATAAATGGCATCATTTTTTAAAATATGACAAGGTCGATCAAGTGCATTCCTGAATTAAGCAAGATATAAGAATGATAGTCAAGCTCCGCAATCTTTCATGGTTAAAGTTGTATATTCTCTAGTAAGCATCCTCCCAATGAACTGATAAATAGTACTGAAAAACCCATTTGGCCCTAAGTCTAAGCCTTGTAGTCAGTTAAAGACACGTACCATTCTAGATACTATGAGTCTAGTCTAGAAAGATCCCTCAAATTTGTTGTGGATTGTGGGTCCCTTGATTCTTTTCAAAGGTATATATCTTCTCTAAGTACTATAAGACTAATCTAGGTATTTCCTTAAGGGTGCTAGTGGAGTATAAGTTTCCCTGAGTTGTTGTATGTCTAGGTAAATACTCTCATGATACCATGGGCATCTCACTCTAAAAGTTATGGAGTTATAAAACACAAACTAAACTGAGGAATTATGTCCACAATATCCCACAGTAGATATGTTTAATGATAGCATGAGTCTAGTTCGGGAATATCTCTCTAGATGTTATCGAGCTATAAGACTCCATAACAATGTTAATGTCTCTTGCGCCTATCCTCATTAATTCATGGAAATGTTCCACTAATCTATATCTAATTTTGACCTTATTAACATAATCCCCTGCATAAAGACTTCTTTTCCATATTTGACATTCCTGAAATATTAACTTACCCTAACCAATAGTATCTTATCTATAATGTTGACCAAAAGAAAAGTTCTTTAATTGAGAGTTTTCTTAGTATCTTAGCCGGGATGTAATTAATCATAAGAGCTTTCTCTTATGGAAAACCTCAACCCCGAAAATTAAAATTAACTATATTTAATTCCCTATTTCATTTAGGAGAAATCTCTTCAATATGCTACTCAATCTAGAAAGAATGTTTTTTTTTTAATTTTATATAAAAAGAAATTAGGATTTGCTTAAATCAAAATTTAAAAACAATGAATAGTAGTCTTTTGTGTGTTTCCATGCACATCTCATAAAAAATTTGCATTAGTGAACTCTAGACTTTAAGTCGCCCTTAATCACTAAAGTTCTAACTTTTATGGATCTTTTGGGCTGGTGGTAGTTAAATATCATAAAATAGATCCCCCATAAAGCAAACATCGAGAGGTACAATCTAGAAGAGAGTTTAACAAAATTACACATTTCTTGCAGAAAGCTTACAGCATGCGAAGCAATTCACGATTACTGTGTTTCTCAAGGAAAACATAAATATCAGGTAATGCAATTATCCTTTATCAATATCAATCATAATACTTTTACATATCTAACATGCATGTTGGAAAATAATGATACAATAGGAATATCAAAAAATTCAGAAAACATAACCTAAGCTCAAATATTTCATATCAAGTGATATAGCTTTAGAAATACTGCGACCAAAAATATCAGAGTCCCTATATATAGACATCTGACGTATGCGATGCCATGATTTCAAGTCATGGAAACCCATCTCCAGCAAACTCAAATGAAAATTGGTCCCATTATAAGATACGCAAAATCTGAACCCTCATACCCCGAAAGGCAAAAACAAAAGATGAACAAAACCATGGCTCTTCATTCAGCAATAAACATACCTAGCAACTACTATCAAAAGAGAAACAAAAACAAGCAAATGATATAACAAATTAAGGTAAAAACACACCTTGGACATGACTCTATACGAGATATACGCCTGCACTCCATTCCCCAATTTCACCGGGTCAGTCACAGAGACGGATAGAAAAGGCTGCCCCGACGGAGATCTAGGACTCTGTGAAGGAGAAGACCCCGAAAATGTCCTCTGCTGTAAAAAGGGCAAAATGGAAACATAGAACAGATCAAATTGGTCTCAATCCCGCAGTTCGATGAGGGTTGAGGTTTTGAAGGTACCGTGGAAATCATCGCCTCTTCTTCTTCTTTCAAGCAGCGGCGGAGGCTACGACGAGGCTGAATCGCGGCGCCGGGAAGATCACCGAGGAGAGTGGAAGCTTAGCACGGACTGCATCGGGCAGCAAATCAAGGGAGACGTGGAAGAAAGAACTTCTAGGCTCTGTGAGTACTGGATCGCCTAGAAACACGGATCTCCGTAACCGGTTAGTCTGGCTCACCCGATGGGTTAGGATCGATCCGGAAACATTTAATATGAGACTTATGAGCGATAAAATTGTACCAAGTTTTTATAATATTAAGTATATAAGACAAATTTTATAGTAATAGTTTTTTTTAATTAGTTAATAGACATTATTTGTGAATAATATAAATCTTCTCATTAATATGTTAACTGCTAGAATATTCGCGGCAGTAAATAGAGTTTAACGTCCTAATTTTACACAAATAATCTATACAAACAAATAAGAGGGGAGAAATAATGATAAGATACATAAGAGTTTTACGTTAAAAATCAAGAAAAGAAAGAAAAAATTTACCATGTTTTACCCAGTTAAAATAATTTATCGTATTTAATTAAGTTACAGATGAAGCCCTACCTTGAAGGCATTAATAAAGTAGACATCGCATTGTTGAAGTTGAGATAGCCATTTGATAGGATTCCAGCATAAATCTAAGTGTTTAAAGTTGGGAGTCGGAGTTGATGTCGAAAACATACGTGTAACACCAACTCAATTCGTGTGTACTTGCACTTGTTATGACTCGATATGGTAAGGATAACCTATTTAAATTTTTGCAATCATGTCCTTTATAAGTATATGTGAGTGTTCTATGTGTATATGGGGTGTTTGAATATATTCTGAAGAGGGTCGCATGAGTTTGTGTGCATAATTGAAAATTTTGAAAAGTTCTCCTAAGGGTGCCGCTGCTTCAAATAAGCATTGTTGTGACATTGAGCTCTGCCTTTTTGCCAAATTAATTCAAATTGTGGTGTTAGGGTAGGTGCTGCGATGTCATGCTCTCTAGTGGGTAGCGCTACGGTACTACAGGGTCAAGCGTCTAACTTAAATCTTATGAAAATATCACTTTTCACTCATTTCATTTTTTTAATAAAAACTCATTCTCCGTATTCCTTTGGCAGCTAGCTAGAGAGGGGGGAATCCTAATGATACGAAGTTATATTTTAGCACCTTTGGTTCATTTTCTGCAGTTACTCTATTCTAAAGTTATTCAGATTGAGGTAGTTTACATTCTATTCATCTCAATTTAAAAATATACAAAATATTTGATATTTTTCTGATTAAATTTAAAATTTCGTAGTGTTAAAAAGATAATAACTTTATAAGTGCTAAACTTTGTCCTTATAACTTTCAATATGTTGTAGATATAACTATTTTAGACATTTATGTAATTTTTAAAAAAGATTTTATAGGGTAATTTGCAAAGTGCATTATTTTTATCTAATTAGAAAGTAATTATGATTCCATAAAATAATGTTAGAGTACAATTAAAACTTCAAAACTATATTTCAAATAATCTTGGTAGTCTGATTAACTTCTAAAATTATGATATTTTGCCAAATACAGTCCATTCAACTACTGTCTCCCAAGTATGATTCTTCTAACCTCTATCACTTACCGACTATAGTCCCTCTGACCTTATCGCCTGACTATGGTCCTACAAACCAATTGAACTAGCTAACATTCTCTTAAGAATAGCTATCATTTTATTCTCCAACCATGCAATGTGATCTATATAATATATATTTTAGCCAGCGCCCTTCTCTGAGTAGGGCATTATTTGTAATCAACCACCAACACTAGTGGATTCATTTAAACTGGGTCAGGCCCTAAGGTTTTTCTCCCTTTTTAGGGTTTTTCATATAAAAATTTTGATGTCTCTTAGAAATATTACACCCCTCTCTTTTATCCATCATTGTATTAGATCTTTATTCAAATCTAAGACATTAAGCTCTATCTTTCTATTACTACGAATATTCTATGACATAATAGTTTGGCATTGTTTGTGAGACCTTAATTCCTAATTAGGGGGCAACCTTGACTGGAACCTCAAATGTGTCTGTGGCCAAGAAAAATTCCTCCAACATTTTTAATATCCAAGATAATGCCACCAACAACTATTTTTTTTAATAAATACAAGGATGCTTCAAGTAAAATTCAAGCACTATATGGTCTCAGCTTATACCTCTAATTTTTAGATAACATCTTATTATTGACCTCAAAAAGGCATTAATGGTCTAAAAACAGACCTATATTTACTTTTGATTTGGGATAAAAGACATTCCCCCCTCCCAATCAAAGCATAATCGATCCCAAGAGGGTTTGATTTAACAACTCCCACACATGTCAATATTATTGAGCAATGCTCTGATAAACAACCTCAGATATGTCAAATATCTTTGGTGGATTCCCTCAACCACTTCAATACAAGTTAACGTTATTAAGCAATACTCTAATAAATAACCTCAGATAAGCTAAATATTCTTGGTGGACTCTCTTGATCTCTTATATGCATGTTAACATCAGTAAGCAATGCTTTAATAAATAATCTCAGTTAAGTCAAATATTCTAGATGGATTCCCTCGACCTCTTCCACACAGGTTAACATCATTGAGTAATGCTCTAACAAACAACCCCGGATAAGTTAAACATCCTTGGTGGATTCTCTAGATCTCTTCCACGTATGCTAACATTAGTAAGCAATGCTTTGATAAATAACTTCAGATATGTCAAACATTCTTGGTGGATTATATCGACCTTTTCAGTATAGGTTAATGTTAGTGAGTAATACTCTAACAAAAAATATCGGATAGGTCAAACATCAATGGTGGATTCTCTCGACCTTTTCCACACAATTTACCATTTTTGAACGACACTATGACAAATAGGTTAAACATTCATTATGGATTTTCTCAACATTTTTAATGCAAGTTAATAATATTGAGCCACACTCTAATAAATAACCCTGGGAAGGCATCCCATGAGGTAGCTTTGAAGGTAAAAGAGTCCATGAGAGCAAGTAATTGACAGGGTCACCACTCATTAAAAGTTCTTAGAAGGATAAAAGCCTCAAAAGGCATAGGAACACCAAAATCCTTATAATGATGAAAACTTCAAAAGGCATAAGTGCATCAAAATCTTATAAGGCTAAAATCCTCATAAGATATACATTTCTTTGATTATTTATAAAAATTTTAGAAGACTAAAAGCTACATAAGGGATAAATTCCTAAATCTAGTTGCTTTAATTGGGGGCAATATATCAAAGATGCAAAATGGTCTTAATTGCAATTGGGGGATAAGTTTACAAATTATAAGTATTCTTGGATAAAAATAGAGCAATTATTACTTCAAATAAATTGAAAACAAACATGAATCTCATATAAACATCTCAAATCAATGTATAATGTATAATTTGAAATTAGATTCAAACATATGGTCAACTTCAACTAATATGGGATTCTAAAAAGTAAATAAGATTGTATTGCTTTCATAAATGTCATTATATCTAATATAATCTTAGTGGAAAAGCGCATGCCTAATTAAAATATTTTGGGGAAAAGATTACCAAGCTTCTAATTATTTTGTACCATGAGTGTGCTACTAGATTATTACAATCGATACAGTGTTTGATTACCTCGATCAAGTTATTCACTACCTTCCCCCGCTAACATATATTTCTAAAAAAAATGCAACCCAACCACCATCATCATTATCCTCTCATTTGAATATCATTAGAAGCATACCATCCAATCAATGCCATCAGCTTATCGCCCGAGTGCCAACATCAGAATATCTCCTAACCACCTATGTTAGGCATTCATTGGCATATTACGTGACTCCCTGTATCAAAGCATAAATTTAAGATTGCTAGATCTCTTCTCGATCAATCACACTAAAGTTCTATCCATCTAATGACAAACACCAGGTCTCCTCCCGAGTGATACATTCACCAGATCTTTTCAGACCATCCTCTTATGTAGAAGTTGTTTGTTTTCTTCTGTTATGGGTAGTCTATGGGGAGAATAAACTTTCATCAAACTTCTTCTACACAAAGAGGGGTAATGAAATTTGATAGGGGATGCCTCCTATCTAAGATAGTGTAATGCCTCTAATGTTAAAAGAAATATAAAGGAAAAGGAGAATAAAGAAATTATTCATTCTTTCTTCACAAAGAGGGGTACTAAAACTTGATAGAAGATGATGTCTATCTAGTAGAGTGGAATGCCTCTGATGTTAGAAGAAATACTAATGAAAAGGAGAAGAAATGCAAGAACTATTTCTTTTACACAAAAAGGGGCACTAAGGCAAGATAAGGGATGCCGCCTATCTAAGACAGTTTAATGCATTTAATGTTAGAAGAAATATAGAGAAAAAGGAGAATAAAGGAATAATATATTCTTTTTACCAAAAGAGGGGCATTTGAGTTTGATAGGGGATGCTACCTATCCAAGACAGAAGAATGACTCTAATGTTAAAAGAAGTGCAGAAGAAAAAAAAAGAGAATAAATAAAGAATTATGCTCTTCACCTACCCTTAGGGGGTATTTATAGGTGAAATGGGGGAAATAAATATTCAAGATTTTTTTAAATGTTTTTATTTTTTTTGGATTTTATCAGTTTTTTATTACTACTAAACATAAATTGCAGTGCCAGTTTCACGCACCAAACGGCGTGGGCAGCCATTCGAACGGGTGCGAGTGTGCGCGGACTGTTGGGTGCCATGTGGGTAAGCAAGCAGCATACAGGACAATGGGCAACAAGGCAACTAAACAGGTGTGATAATCATGAGGGCTCATCGAAGGTGTTTGCGAGTGGCAGCCGACCGACTGGTTTGGCCTCCAATTCATATTTGGGCCTGATTTTTGGCTCGGATAGTTCGATTTAAACTTGTTTGCGATCCTTTGGACCTTTTTTGATGTTCCAGACTCAGATTTGACACTTTCAAAGCATAACAGAGCCTCTATAGTCTGTTTTAAGCCATTTCAAAATATTTAGAATATAAATTTTAATAGTTCTTGCTCTGATTTTTTAGCCAATTTTAGGATATCCTAAATTTATGATTTAGGGTATTTTACTTGACTCATGATCCAGAGGGGAAATCCACATTGAAGTCCTGGGAATAATCACACCTCATAATTACCTAAAAATTATAATTTTTCATTTGAATAATTTTAAAACCTCTAACACATATTTTTAGAATTTGTAGGTTTCGA